ACAATTTCTAAAACGAGGTAAATTATTGAAAAGCAAGTTGATGAAACAAGAATATCAGCAGTCTAGTTTTAAGTCATCATTTCGTATGTTCTATGGTCGATACAATGACCTTGTCAGCAAATACAATTTTTCATTAAATCAAATGCTGACTGACGTTTTTCATACCAATTGTTTGTCCATTATTTATACACTGAATTGTATACGGATTTTTCCATTATTTCTCGATCATGACAAGGAGTACACGGCGGATGTGATCGGTCAGCAGGGGACGCTCACTCCGCCATGGCACCTGATCTCACCTCTGATGTTTCGGAGGTCCGTGTTTGCTCTGCTCCTATTAAGTATTGTTTTGTGGACTTTGATACTTAATATTATTCGTTATATCCATATCCTTTTTAATATTGCTTATATCACAATAATATTGCAAGAAATTGGATTTTAAGATATATTCATAATTTTATAAATATCTTATTATTGTGCAAATTAAACATCAAACGTCGGGATATTTTTGTTGAAACATCTTGTATTATACAAAATAATATAGCAATTAAAATGAATTTCCAGAACAAAAGAATTTGATTTTTAAAAAATATTTTATTGAATTTAAACATGTACACCGAATGATTTTTGGGATAATATATATAAAATATACATATTGCTCAAAGATAAGATAACAGGAAGAGAAGCATATGAAAAATTTATAAGGATTTCAGCTGGGATGTGGTATGAAAACTTTCACTTTCTCAGGAAAGAGGGTTAATTTTAGGTTTTTCTAATACTCGATGACTACAATAATTGGCAAAAATTTCAAAAACAGAAACAATTGCACACACAGCCTGTAAAAAGGAAAAAGGTATCTGTAGGTTTATTTAAAAAAATTTATACATTCAAAACATTCATATACATAAATGAGGATGCAGAAAATCCTTTTTTTAGTTTTTACACATATGAATAATAAAAACATTAAACCATGGAATGAAATTGATTTGGATAGAACATATCATTTCTTAACAAAAATTGATAAAACTTTTCCTTTTACCGATAATTTCGACAATGAATAAAGGAGAAAATAACATTATATTTACCATCATCAGTACAACACGGATTCCTTCACTTAGAACATGGTCTATATCTACGTCTCGTTTATTCTTATTCTCCGTCATTTTCTCCTGTATAGCTTCCAGACAACCCTAATATAATTATACGTTAATAATATCAGAGAAATGGCATTGAATCTCTCACTCTCATCTTATATGAAAAAGACGTCAAACTGGATTAAGGGGGCCGACTATAGTTTTATTGTGTGAAAACTACAATAGCGAAACTCTTCATTTTTACACCATATATAACTTACATTAACTTCAGTGTACATGCAAAGTTTGGGGGAAATCTACCGTCCAGGTATTTTTTGAGGACCGTATCAAAATACAGGTACATTTACTATTGGATTCTATAGGAAAATACCAATTTTTCGCACTTTAAAGCAAATTATACAAATACTACAGTAGACATTTTGTTCAAACTATAATATTTGATGAGTAATTCTATATTATACAATATATGTAAGAAACACAAAATTCTACCGTCTTGTTACCAGAGGGGGCATCTCAAAATGCAAAAAATAGCAAATTTTACTATCTTTATATATAGAGTATTACAAAATATGATGTACACAATGGATTCACATGAAAACATAATAAAAATATTGGAGATATTCTCAAATTTCTATATTTTAAATTTCAAGAGCGTATGTTTATTATTTTTTCTTTAATAATATTTTTATTACCCCTTTCTTTAAGAGCTACAGATTATCATAACGTCAAAAACACACTGCAACGACTTCAACCTACCTATCAATTGCAAAATCGGCTAAAAAATCAGTCATATCAAATTTTAATTACATTTTTATACCTGTAATTTCTTAAGTTTGTTTAATTTTAATAATTAAACGAAAAAAGTTGCATTATTAAAGTGAATACGCTTAATTTTACTATGATGCGCGAAATATTGCGCAATGGAAACTATAGTCGGCCCCCTTAAATATTTCAGATTCATGATAAAATCACGCATTAAAAGATTGAAGGGCAATATGAAAACCATCTATCCTTGTGTATTCAATAAAAGAAGTAGATAGATTACATGATCAGTACTTATTGGTCCCAGCAGACAAAGAATGTAACAACATTAAGACAATATTGTCTTCGTTTAAATCATGCTCATTATATAAATTGTATCTTAGTTAGAAGAACTTGGATTTCATTCTGCAAGTTGTAATCCAACCTATACTCGTAGTTCCCTTTCTACGGAAGAAATTCTTCAAAATCATCGGTCAGTTTAAAATTTTAATAATATGCCGAAGATCCAAAATGAATTTGAAGTACCATTTATTGGATTCCGAGATTTCATAAGAATTCTTACAAACAAAGATACATTGAGAGTTCCAGTAAATGTTCAACCAAGCCTCTTCCTGTACTCCTCACTAAGATATAGACAGTCGTGGAGGAAAAACCTCAGGAGTACTGTGCAATAATTTTTTCAAGAAATTGTGTTTATCAGATGTGGAAATACTTAGAAATTCCAAGAAAAATTAAAAATCTTCAAGATTTCACCAAATCAACAGCTTAACAACTTATGACTTTTCCATTTTATACATAATCATATCCCCACAATAAATTAAAGGTTTTTTAAATATTATTTACAGCAGCTTATTCAATAAAAATAGAACTCGTAAAATTAATTACTTTGTCATTGGTCATTTGCAAAATTATTTTGTTAAAAATATTCTGATTATACGCACAAGAACTCTGAAGTTGACATCTAAAAGATGCTTGAGTTTCTGATTGACAATATCTATGTCGTTTTTGGAGACAAAGTCTTTCAAAAATCTTTTTTGAATTCCCATTGGTACCAATTGCGCTCCGTTATTAGTGGACCTATTTTTGTATTTATATGATGCAGATTTTTATGAAAACTTTTGTGCGAACAGAAGAAAACACTTGCTGTGGACTTCAACTCGAAATTTAGATATTTCGACGACTTTTTGGCATTTAACAAGTGCATTTTCCTTTTTTTTGTCGATACGATATATCCTGGTGAGCTTGAGATAATAGATACCACAGAGTTTGTCACATCTGTTTCATATTTGGATATTTTACTTGAAAGAGACGTTAATGGTAATCTAACAACAAAGCTCTATGATAAACGTGACTTTTTTTTTTCATCGTCAACTTCCCTTACTTATGTAGCTATATACCTTTATCACCTGCTTACGGAGTTTATATATCTCAGTTGATTCGATACGCAAGAGCATGCTCTATCTACGTATGAGCAATGTCTAAAACGAGGTAAATTATTGACAAACATATTAATGAAACAAGAATTTAAGCTCTCTCGTTTAAAGTCATCATTTCGTATGCTGTATGGAGGATATAATGACCTTGTCAGCAAATACAATTTATCATTGAGTCTCTCTCTCTCTCTCTCTCTCTCTCTCTCTTTGTTTTATTGTTTACCTTTCTATTAAAGTTATCGGTGACGCTGCTATGACAAGTCATCGGTGCTGATTGGTAGTCGTCCTTAGTTACACCAATACAACATGCTTTAGGGATATGAGAATCTGTCTGTCTACATGAACCACTTGTGGTGCACCAAGGAGTGGTATCAAAATCATTTATAGGTCCAGTAACTGCATCCACAGCACAACAATCAAACTAAACAAAAGAAATTCCATTCATTAAAACGTCTACATGTACATGGTCGAGATCTTATTCACAATACGCTATATTCGATATATATCAATTTTTAAATGTAAACATATAGTAGTGCGGCATGTTACCAAATGTGCAATTTGTAATTTTTGGCAGAAAAATAGAATTCACCTGATTAAAAAATCTAGATAATTGGTCACCGCAGAATCACGCCCTGGTGGTCATAGCAGCCATTTCACAAGAAATGATCACCAGAAATTACATTTATGGTTGACGTTTCTTAAGGTTTTCACCTTCTATCTTGGTTTAAGATAATAAAGATACTACAGGAATTAAAAAGGAAATATTTTAGTGCTTTTAATAACATATCCATATGGTATCACTTTCTTACAAAATACGCCACTGTTCCATAAGATGAAACAAAGATAAAGGCAAAACCATCTTTGCCTATATCCTAATTAAAATATTGATTGAATATATGATCTCTGTAAGATATATTTAAAAAGTAAGGAGATATCTAGTGATCAGCATATCCAGTTATCAACACCGTTTGAATTCAACGCAACCCTTTTATATAATCCCCAGGTGATAATAAATTCAATATTTACAATGTTGTGATATTATAAAGTCAAAAATATATTTTGCATTGTATAGAAGATGTTGAATAAATATTCAACAAACATACATTTAAACATTGATTAACAACTATCAAAATCTTTGGTATCTCAATATTCAATAATATCTTACGTCGATAAAGAACATGTTCCATTCGTTTGACGTCACATTTGCACTGCTGATGTCATCACTGACGAAATTCGTGTCAAGAGATGATTTCATGGCTATCTTCAAAGTGTTGAAGTTCTGGAAGTAATTTAGTGATCAAAAACATGTGTCTCAATCGTCCAAACTACTTTACATAGATCACTTTTAATTACAACTTAATAATTCATAACACCTCAAGAATTGACCAAAATCCTTACACTTTTTGTGCGCCAATAAGACGATGTTTAACCTTACCACTGCTTTGTTTCTTGTTTCATAAAGGTTGTTGTAATAAAAAGAAGTCGAAATGGTCAATGACGCCATGGCAACAAACACCTATATGTACAAAAGACATGGTCTTTGTTTATATCGATAGAAATGGCTTTCATAAAAAATATTAATTTTTTGCAATAAACAAGAATAAAAACAAAGATGATTAAGACTTACACAGATAAATAAAATTGTTGTTGGATATGATGATGAGCTTAGAGTGGAAAAGAGCACACACACACACATGATGATAAGAAAAACCGTGACGAAAGCAAGAAATAAAGATGTTGTCAGTAGCAGTCGGAAGGCCCATTCCTTGACATCGTCATGGTCACATGTTCCTAGTGATGACACCTTTAATTTCGACACTCTGTCGTAAACTGCACAATTGTTGTCGCTACTGTCCATTATCACTAAACATCTGTAGATCAATGGCGAAGTACTAAGCTAGAAAGAACAAAGACCAGGCAATTTTTGTGAAGAAATAATTGACGTCTATATCATAGTTAACTGAATGTCATCTCTTTATCAAATCTAGAAATATTCCAAAAAGTTGTACAGATCTATTATATTTCAATAGCTTTGCATCCCATGATATTTAGAACTAAGCTTAACATCTGCCAAGGAATCTTTGAATGTTATTTTTAATATATATATAATATTACCGTGACAATCAAACCAACAAACAGCAAAAAGAATGTTTTCAAGAGCGTTTTGGCAGTCATCTGAAATTAAATAATCTTAATGACGTTAAATATTTGTCTTTCTAGCGATTGCAAAATGTTGTGATAAATAGTTATAACCATATGTGAAAAATAACCGTTATTCGACTTTAGCAATCTTATCATCTAGCTAATAAAACAAAAATTAATTTCTCGCCAAAGTGTCTGCTTATGCGTTTGAACACATAGTCAGCTAATTGAGTATTATTATCTTAAAATCCTGATTCAAAGGAGCGATGATCGGCAAAAAAAGTCTGAGTGAACAATTTTATTTTACATATGTAAACTACATCGTTTTAAGTTTATTTATAATTATTTGATATTTTAATCTATAAAAAAAAAATTCAGTTCAGAGATTCATAATCATCAGAACTCAAGTCAAGCTGCTAGCTGCAATAATGAAGCCCTTTCCAATATTATGGACCCGAAACGCGAAAAATCTGCCTGCTAATGGTCGCTAATGCTAATGGTCGCTCTCCTCAGAAGCAATTTCATTTTTCGTGTGTTGTACTGAGACTTAGAATAACCCACTAAAGTAAAAGTCGATGTTAATAAACGATTGTGTTGTATGACGTCAATAAACATCGATAAATAAATTTATTTTATTTCATATTTTTTTCGTGAATTGCGATACTTAAGTTTAAAATAAATGAATTGCCATTATATTCTACTCTCTTATCCAAAAATAAAATTGATCAAGGTTAGTAAACCTGTCGGATAAATTAAAGCCGTGATATTTTCATAGACAAAAATAACATATATATGGTTTTTAATTTGTATTTTTGAGTTGATTTATGTCTTGCGTATCTACATTTTTGAAGTTCAGGTAAGAAATGATAAACAAAATAGCAATTTACTGATAACTTAACGCGAGAGTGATTCACTATCGAACTTGCACCATAACAGCAATCCTAAAATATGTAGCCTTCTCCCAAAAAGGAAGGCATTCATTATTGCAGCTATCAAATTGAGAAATACTCTCTGAAATATAATATTGGAATATTTGATGGATGCTCATTTCTCTAATCATAGGGAAGGTTTAAGACTTCAGTATTTTGAAGCGGGTAAAAGAAAAGTAAACAAATCTTGAAAAAATATTAATTTAAAGGATTTTGGGGAAAAAATACTCTGTTTTAATGTGAAAAACTGTCATACCTTTTTTCCACTTGGTATCACCGCAGATTCTGTGTAATAAAGAATGCTATTATACTTTACATCACAATTTTTAATGGAGCATTCAGAATTTTAAAAAATAAATCCTTTAGACTGATATTGCTCACTTCTCCGTGAAATTGATGTTTAAAAGAGCGACAGGATAATGGTGTAATGAATGTGTTGTTGCATATTTCTCTTATTGTCTACTGGCAATGAAAGTTATTTATTTTGAATGAATATTTATAATATCTGTTGAATTTGAAATTTGATTTTCATCTCAATTCATGGCATAGTAGTCGAATTTCCTGAGGGCACTCAAGTCTCTTGCAATGATTAAATATATTTTTAAACAGGGAGCCGAGAAACCCAGGGAATGGTGTCAATTAAGTGTTGGGGGGGGGGGAGTAAACATTCCCTTTTTGACCTTGAAGGGGTGTAATAAGTTGACAAATTGTACATAAAATGGTATAACAATCGGTGTGAAACATGAAATAATGAAAAGTTGTTTTGTTATCAAATCATTGGAACAAAGTTGGTATATTACATTAAAACCAAGCCTCTTTCGTTACTTCTCACTAAGATTTTGACAGAAGTGAAGGAAAAACTTCAAGAGTACTGTACAATAATTTATTCTAGAAATGGTGTGAACCAGATGTGGATATTCAACAATTCCAAAGAACTTTTGGACGATTTGAAATCACAAGACTTTACAAAAATCAACAGCTTAAAAACTCACGACTTTTCAACTTTATACACAACAATTCCCCATGACAAATTAAAATCCAGGCTTTTTGATATCATTGACAGCTGCTTCTTCAATAAAAATGGAACTCGTAAATTTACTTACCTCGTTATTGGTCATTTGCAAAATTATTTTGTTAAAACAGATTCTGATTGCACACATAAGTACTCTGAAGTTGACATCAAGAAGATGCTTGAGTTTCTGATTGACAATATCTATGTGTTTTTTGGAGACCAGGTATTCCAACAATCTATTGGAATTTCCATGGGTACAAATTGCGCTCCGTTATTAGCAGACTTATTTTTATATTCATATGAAGCAGAATTTATGCAAAATCTTATGCGTGAAAAGAAGAAAACACTTGCTGTAGCCTTCAACTCGACATTTAGATATATGGACGACGTATTGTCAATTAAAAATGGTAATTTCCATTCCTATTTCGATGCGATATATCCTGGTGAGCTTGAGATAAAAGATACCACAGAGTCCGACACCTCTGCTTCATACTTGGATATTTTACTTGAAAAAGAAACTAATGGTAATCTAACAACCAAGCTATATGATAAACGTGATGACTTTAACTTTTCTATCGTCAACTTCCCTTACTTATGCAGCAATATACCTTCATCACCTGCATACGGAGTATATATATCTCAGTTGATTCGATACGCAAGAGCATGCTATACGTATGAACAATTTCTGAAACGAGGTAAATTATTGACAAGCAAGTTGATGAAACAAGAATATCAACAGTCTCGTTTAAAGTCACCATTTCGTAAGTTCTATGGTCGATACAATGACCTTGTCAGCAAATACAATTTATCGTTGAGTCGAATGCTGACTGACGTTTTTCACACCAATTGTTAGTTCATTATTTATACACTGAGTTGACAACGGATTTTTTCCGTTATTTCCTGATCATGACAACGAGCACACGGCGGGTGTGACCGGTCGGCAGGGGATGCTCACTCCTCCATGGCACCTGATCCCACCTCTGATGTTTCGGAGGTCCGTGTTTGCTCTGCTCTTATTTTGTATATTGTTTAATGGACTTTGAGATTGAATACTGTTCGTTATCTCCATATCCTTCTCATTCATGTTCAGAAATAAACAAAAGAAGAACATAAGGTGTACATTGTAATATCCCTCTGTTCATTCATTTAATTTTGTATGCTTGTGATTTTTCTAAAAGAAATCTTATCTTTTATGAAAAGCGCATATAATTTTAGGATACCTATTAGAGTATAATTTGACCGATATGGCATGGGAACTTGGCAATCCCTAACAAAAAATACTATAGTAAACTATAGTAAACTATAGTTAACTATAGTACCAAAGTTAAAACTTTGGAACTTTGATTTACTATGGTGAAAACTTTGGAACTTTGATTTACTATGGTGAAAACTTTGGAACTTTGATTTACTTCGGTGAAAACTTTGGAACTTTGATTTACTATAGTAAAAACTTTGGAACTTTGATTTACTATGGGGAAAACTTTGGAACTTTGATTTACTATGGTGAAAACATTGGATTTTTGATTTACTATGGTAAAAACTTTGGAACTTTGATTTACTATGGTGAAAACTTTGGAACTTTGATTTACTATGGTGAAAACTTTGGAACTTTAAACTATTGATTAACTTTGATTAAATACTATAAAACCCGTGGATTTATGGTTTTGCTTCTATTCTGTACATTTTATGAAATGTCAAGAATAAGATTTATTGAGGCTTAAATGAACGTTAGAAAAACCCGACCCCTCCGCCAATAAGAACAAAGTACAAGAGATGAATTTTAAAAAAAAATGTACTAGCACCGATAAAAAAGCAATATTCATCATCAATAATGGAGAAAAAAATTATTATAAGATAAAAAAAAACAAACCAAAATCATTTCCCTTAAAACAGATAAATAATTTAAAAAATTAATTAAAAAAAACATACAAAAACTTCAATACTTTAATTTACTATAGTAAAAACTTTGGAACTTTGATTTACTAAGGAAAAAAACTTTGGAACTTTGAATAACTATGGTATAAACTTCGGAACTTTGATTTACTATGGTGAAAACTTTGGAACTTTGATTTACTAAAGTACAAAATTTGGAACTTTGATTTACTATGGTGAAAACTTTGGAACTTTGATTTACTTGGCGAAAACTTTGGAACTTTGATTTACTATGGCGAAAACTTTGGAACTTTGATTTACTATGGTAAAAACTTTGGAACTTTGATTTACTATAGTAAAAACTTTGGAACTTTGATTTACTGTGGTGAAAACTTTGGAACTTTGATTTACTACAGTAAATACTTTGGAACTTTGATTTACTATGGTGAAAACTTTGGAACTTTAAACTATAGTAAACTATAGTTAACTATAGTATTTTTTTGTTAGGGATTTCATAAAGTAATACTACATGTTGTTACCGTATGGTGGTTTCTTTAGCGGGTGTGAAATTTGGAGTTTTGCTTGCAAAGGTATACCAATAATTTTGGCATAACTATTTTTGGCGAAAACAAACATATGTTTGAACACCAATTTACACAAAAGTTTGAGTAGATACAGTACCAAAAGAAGTTACATTATAGTTTGCAGCTAAGTGTAAAGTTTCAAGTTACGTAACGATCTAGTTGTCAACTGCGCTCAAGGTAAATTGAACACGCCTCCTAACCGCAAGTCTTTAATTTACGACTGGAACTTTCTTCTTATCCCCGATTGGTTGCTCGTGCAACAGACTATTTCCGTGTCAATTTTGATAATTATGAGTTGACCAATCACGCGAATTGTTAACGTTGGATGCATCTGACGAAAAATATCGTGACGCAATGTAAAACTTTCCACTTAACTGAAAACTATAATATTGCATATCGACAGGCTAATCAAAGTTATACATGAATTAGTGATTCTGATCGTAGTCATAAACGAAAATGATAAAGAACTGGGTACGGTATGTATAACGAGGCGGCACTGTCTCTAAATGTGATTGAAATTTTTTACAAACATGCCCACAATGTGTCCTTTCAAAATCATTCTATTTTATGGAATTATCTCATACCGTTTTTCCGCTAGAGGTTTGGGAAAATGGTGCATTTTCTTCAATAATTACA